CATTTCATTGGCACCATCTCTCTCCATCCATCCAAACCAGGCACCTGGCAGATCTGCTGACCACAAAGTGGACAGCACTGCAAGGCTGCTCCCCTCCTGAGTGCATCCGCATCTACCTGACAGTGGCCCGGAAATGGCCTTTCTTTGGTGCTAAGCTTTTTGCTGCTCAGGTAAGTGTGAGGGGTTTCCAAGGGAAGGAGTGATTACCACACTCATAGGAATGTGCCCTAAATTTCTCAAGCTACTGCCCACATCTGGTCCTGTTTGAGCCAGTCCAGGCTAAGGGGCCCGCCTGCACACGAGTAACCACCAGAGGTCGCTGTTTCTCTACCATTTCTGGCCTCAGATTTCAAGGGTCTAGAGCAGAGTTGTGATCCTTGCTTTTGGGCCTGGATTATTTCTGGGTGGCGTTCCTCTTTCCTTTTTTAACTCTTTGAGAATGAGAGTGGGGGAGGGACAGGAGGAGAGAGAGATGGGAGGCGTGGGGGGCGGGAATAGAGAGAAAGGAAGGGAGAGGATTCCAAGTAGGCTCCATGCCCAACTCTGAACCCGACATGGGGTTCAATCCCAGGACCATTAGATCATAACCTGAGCCAAAATCAGTTGCCTCCTTTTTTGGGGGGAAAAAAAAAAGACTAATTCACACATAAGGGTTCAAACTTGACATGATACCCCCCTAAGAATGCTTTCATTTTTAACAAAGTGTAAAAGAGGGGTGCCTGGGTGGCTTAGTCAGTTAAGGATCCAATTTCGGCTCTGGTCATGATCTCATGGTTCATGAGTTTGAGACCCGCATCGGGCTCCCTTGTGTCAGCGCAGAGCCTGCTTCAGATCCTCTGTCTCCCTCTATTTGCCCCTCCCCAGCTCACACTCGCTCCCTTTCTCAAAAATAAAAATTTTTAAAACATTTTTTAAATGTTTTATTTATTTCTGAGAGAGAGAGAGAGAGCATGAGCAGGGGAGTCTCAGAGAGATTGGGAGACACAGAATCTGAAACAGGCTCCAGGCTCTGAGCTAGCTGTCAGCACAAAGCCCGATGCGGTGCTCGAACCAACAAACCGTGAGATCATGACCTGAGTCGAAGTCAGACACTTAACCGACTGAGTCACCCAGGCGCCCTAAAAAATAAACATTTTAAAAAGTTGTAAAAGATACAACAATATATAACCTAAACGAACACGTCTCTGACTTAGCATGGCCACAGGAGACTTTTAACTACTCACGCAACAGTTAATTTCACTGCGTGAAGGCCAAGTGACCAGTATTAATTTCAGTTGGAACTTCTCTTTGCCAGGTGTCTAGTGTGTATAAAACTTATTCATACTCAGGGGATCACATCCTTAAAGTTCACTAACAGTACAGGTTAGACAGTGGACATTGATTTATTCAATAAAGAATTGTTAAGCTCCTACTAGGTCTCAGGAACTGTTTAAGATTCCAAGAGCTGAGCGAATCAGGCACAGTCCTAGCCTTTGTGGAGCTTCCCATCTAGTAAAGGAGGTACACGTTAATAAAATAATCATATTCTCTCTCTAAATACATACGTTATTTTATAAGCTGTAACATGTGCTCTGAAGGAGGATAGGAGTGTTACAAAGGCACCCTGGGACCCTCTCAATCTAGGGGGTTGGGAAAAGCATCTGAAAAAGAGGACATGTACATCCCTCTCCCCAGCCTTTTGGGTAGGAGAGATCGGAAATCTGGATTGCCCTACTGTAGTCCTGGCAGTGCAAGTTAGTCGTTTTAGGAAGTGACCACCAGAGAGTTACTTTTCTCACTGGTAGGGCCTAAAGCCCCTGAGATTGCATTCTTACTTTCCTGTTTCATTTGCAGCCGCTAGGAACTTGGCTGAAGCAAGATACACTTCAGCTGGGAGAGAACTGTCAGTCTGTGTGAACGAGAAAATAGCTGGTCTCCATGCTCATGGCAGAGGGCTGGCCTTTGTTGTGCAGCAGAGCCTCCCACCCCATGTACGGTGGCAGGATGGGCTCTAGGTACCCCTCCCCTCTCCGGAGGGTAATTAGGTAGCTAGAGCCCCAAGGCTTCTGTTTACTTCAGCAGGCTGTGCAAGTACCAAATTTCATGTTTTCCAAGATGAGAAAAAGGTTGGAAATCACTGCCCAGCAGATCCCTGGATGTGCCTTCTTCCCCAGAAAGCTCTTATGGTTCAGCTTCCTTAGCTGTGGGCACGTGTGATGGGATTTCCCTGTTTCCCCAGCCTGTACAGCTGTCTTCCAAGGAGAACGCTCTGGTGTGGATTGCTGTGAATGAGGATGGGGTCAGCATCCTGGACCACAACGCTATGGTATGGAAGGATGAGGGCTGGCTCTCTGACCCCTCCTCCTGAACAGCATCTTTTTTTTTCTCCTCTCTGGACTCAAAGGCCTGAGCCAAGTGATTGTGGTTTCCCTACTCACCCCGCTGCACCCCAGCCTTGCTGTCCTCTAGTCTAGATAGAGCTGTTGACATTCAAGATGTGGATCTCCAAATTCTGACCACTTCAGAGTTCTCCCTTTCTGGTTAAGGCTACCAATGCCTACAAGAGACAGGGGGTGCTGGTTTAGTTCAGGAGGCAGGTGGAAAATTTCCCCCAGAACTAACTGGCTTCTTCTCATAGCATGTGCACGTCACTTACCCCTACTCTTCAGTAATGACCTTCGGTGGCTGTCGGGATGACTTCATGCTTGTGATTAGATCCATTCCGGACCAGAGCTCTGGAAAAGGCCACATTGAGAAGTTGCTCTTCCGGATGGCTGCTCCCAAGGTGCATCTGACAGCTGCTAAAACATGTTACTCAGATCTATCTAGTGTGATGAGGTGGGCTTGCAGTTAGGAAAGGACCCTGGGGTTATGACCATACTCTAGAAGGGCCCTGTCCCAGGTATAACTTTTGGTTTTGTCTGTAGTCAGTCCTCCAAGGGTTCGGGTGGGGTTGGATTCAGTAGTCACCGGTGAGCTGATCGGTGAGGGGCTGGCTGGGAAGGCACGCACTCCGGTACGGCTACGTCCATGGTCCCCACTTGGTCCTCTCAGCCTTCGCAGCCCAGCACCACGCGGGCTTGAGGCGAGGCCCACTTGTTCTTCATGCAGCCGATCCAGGGGCCAGGGCAGCGTCCTCCTCAGTGTGCTCTCCCTTCCCCGGGGCTCTGCCAACACTAGTCACAAAGTGGGACAGTCTGCACACACTCCCCCTTCCTTGTGGTCTTGAAGACAGTCCCAAAGACCTCTATTGCTTGAAGAGCTTTGTTCCTACTCAGCACAGGAAATATTGACTAGCAAAAGTTAACAATTATAAAGGCTTCAAAACTTAAGTTCTGATTTATAGCTCCAGACTCCATTCGGAAAGTAACCGGAGACTCTGTTGTTTTAATCCTAAAATTGGAGTTTCCCAAACCTCCTGTTTTCTTTAATACCACCCTGGCCAATGGAGAGGATTCACAGACACCTTTCTCCAGGGAGGCCCACTTCCCTGGCTCAGTGCCTTCTGTTCTCAGGAGGGTGCTGTGCACCAGCAGCCCTTCAGACCAATAGGCACCCATGTCACTGGGGTTTTGAACCTCACAGAAATTATCCCCTTTGGACATTGTCTCCCAAAGATTTTAAGAGATAAGAAACTGAAGCCAGGAAGGTTATGTACCTAGTATAACAGCTAATGAGAAAGCCAGGATTCAAGCCAAGGTTAGTTCAATTCGTTTCTGTTGTCTCCTTAGATTGCAGAGGCTACCTTCATCATGGCCAGCTACATGAACCATTGCTCTCCAACTGTGAACCCACCTACCAACCCATCTGCTGCCCGCCAGCTACGAGAACTGGACAGACAGCAGTTTTTTGCTTCTGTTCCATGTGCTGCCAGAGGGCCAACGTTGCTGTGAATATTTCTCCTGCCCTTTTCCCCCTCCAACCACCTGGTGCCTCTGTGATTAGAGACTGGTCTCCTGGGGTATGATACTACTGTGATGGGGTCTGGCAGCCCTCCTCCAGTTTATTCTGTGAAATGTGTTATTTCACTGTGAAGCCTTCATTCTCTAGGTGCCTTATAATGTTTCAGGGCCCAACTTTTAAAAATCCAGGCCCAGTATAAAAACCACTTTTATTTTTTTTTCCACAAGAATACTGAGCTCTGGATGCTGCCTGATTCTAGATACAAGACTGGGATGATCTGCGGTTGCTAGTTACTGAGGGCATCAGTGCCATAAGTCAAAGCTTTATGCACTGAAACTCAGGAAGGATAGTATCTTTTACGTCGTATATGGTCCTTATGTGGGGATTTATACTTGAAGTTTTCCCAACATCCTTGAACAAGATAGGACTAAAATTTCTAGTCCGCCTGAACTGTGACAGCCTAGAACTCACTAAAACTGGACTTCCCTTTCCATATGGGAAAGGTATTGGCAGGGCTAGAGGTTAAGGAAAAGACTCAACTTTCTCCTTCCCCACTGCAAATGAGTAGGCACTTATAGTGCCTCTCTGGGGCAGGAGTCTTGTCTTTGCAGGACAAGAAAAAGGCATGATCCCTGCTGAGACTCGAGCTGTTCTCCTTCACACTGGACTGTGAGCCCAACTGGGTACAAGCAAGGGCAGGGGTGAGTCCAATCTGACCTCTCCCTGTTTTCATTTTAACGACCGGACAGGGCTCAATGAAGGCTATGCTTCCTGCTGTAGGACAGAGTGGTCACCACTGGTTTCCTTGCTCTTTGAAAAACCCAAGCACGTGCACTCTGTTTTTTGCTGCTTTGTGAGGTCATCAAAGATGAGTCAAAAATAGAATCCAGGCTCATGGACCTGAATTTGCTCAAGATTCAACGGCGAACTTCTGCTGAGAATTAGTGTGAGGGCTGCTGAGAATTAGTGTGAGGGCAGAGGGTACACAGGTGATACCTCTCCTAGCAAGAGTACCCTGGTGATATAAATATCCCCCCATCCCCAACTGAGGCCTTCTGTTGAGTGCAGAGGAGATGATCTTCCACCCTCCCCTAACAGAAAACAGACGAAAGAGTTCATTTACACTCTGATTCTCTGACATTGGAGAAGCTGAGCTTTATTTCCTAGTTCTAAGGCAGTCCCACCATTTGTCAATCAAGGGCTGAAAACTGTGTGGCTCGAGCAGGAGTATCCAAGAACCAAGCCTTTGACTTCCACAAAGTGTGTGTGTGTTGCACACTGCAAAAACTTCAAGGTTGGAACTAGTTTCTCTGAACACCTCAGCTGCTGTAAGCTTCCCTCCTTTCACCCTTTAAACTGACAAACATGATTTACAGGAAAAAAAAAAAAAAGCACATCAGAGCATCTGTCTCTTTTAAATAAACTTGACTTTGCAAGGCTGGCAATTTTACAGCCATCTTCCATTTCTGTTGCTGCCTTTCCCCCAGGATAGGAGATCTAACTGAGACATTTCTACCTCGGACAATTCAAATGTCACATGTAACACAGGCTCCTGAATAACCCCTCCTGAGCTGATGTAAAAGGCAGGAATTACAGCTCTAGTTTTGTAATATCCTGAGTATCTCTAACACCCATGAGGATAATATTATCTATCTGAGAGTTAAAAAAAAAAAAAAAAAATTAGGATCCTAAGGAAAAAGCAAGCAAGAATGGAGCTGTGTTCACACTGAACTTGGGGGTTCAGCTATTTCCCCCACCCTAGCTCCTTCCCAGCCTTTCTTGAATCTTTCCATAGTGTATTAATTTTATACAGAAGACACTGCCTTATAATCAAAGGCTTCTGCAGTTTGTGTTTATCCTTCTTTAACATGTCTGGAAACCAAAGTCAAATTTCTGTCTGGTCTTCTGTGTCATCATTCTTGGAAAAAGAAGTGCTGGAAACCATAGACAATGCTGAATAACAGAAGAGTATTAATGTGCTTGATATCCAAGACTGAAATGCAATGTTCATGTTTGTCAATAAAAAGCAACTGTCTGTGAACCAGGCAATTATTGTGTATGTTTTGGAAAGAGATAGGTTTATTAAGAGAGTCATCATAAATTAACCCTGTACGGAAAACAAAGGAGCTAGATGGACAGAGACTAGTCTTTTGTAGGACATCTTCCAGGTACTCACCAGTACCTGAAGGGTTTGACTATTTTTTCCTTTTATACAGGGGTACTATGCAGTTGGAAATTATGTTTCTTAAGAAATCTGATGTCAGTTTCCCATGGTCTTGCTCCACAAATCCTACAAAAAGTTAACCTGAATCTGCTTAGGAATTTCGCAAAGTGCTCTCTGTCAACATTACTTTTGACATGTCATTTCTTAAGGTCTCCCCTCAGTTGGTGAAGTAGGCAAAACCTTACAAGGGGATCACCACAATACACAGAAGGAATTTGCTCAACATCACACAATGAGTTAGGTTTCCAGTCACCTGCTCTGTGGCTCTGAGATCCACTGCATCCATACTGGTTCCTAGGACTGTGTCCACCCGATGGTTTAGAATACAGAAAATAAACCAGCCACTATGGCTTAGGAGTCCTCTCCCATGGCAGACAGTACTGGCCTTCTCAATGCTGGGACTCATGGACTTGCCGGTGTGGCTTTCTGGTGCGCCAGGACCTCCTGGCAGCTCCTGTACACTTCAATCAAGCAGTCCAGGCGGGGCTTGGCACTCTGAATTCCAAAGGGGAGAAATGCAGAGTCAAGATGAACGTAAGAGAGCACGTAACTGTGCTGCATCCATGTGCAACCTCAATCTCTCAGCACATCAGGGTCTAAAGGGCTCAGGTGTGAGCCCAGAGAGGCAGACGCTCAGGCCAGATGGCACCCTACTGGCTAAGAAAGCAAGAGGAATAACAAGGACAGACCCTCTTGGGAAATGTCACAGCTGTGAAACAGTCCTCAAGGGCAAGAAGGGCAATTTAATATGTAAATATCAAAAAGTATTTTGTACAGTGAAATGTAATACAACCAAAATTAAAAGAAAAGTCACAGAATTAGAAAAATATATGTGGAAAGCATATTTAGAGAGTTTGTTACCCAAAATATATAAATTTTTACAAATGCATAATCAGATCTAGATTCTACTCGATTAATAGAGGAGATGGATAGCTTAAAACGAGGAAATACTGGTAGGCAATACAAGGAAATATGAAAAGTCTCTTTGTCATTTAAATTTAAGAAACTTTAAATTCCTTTACCTACATACTAAAGTAAACAAATAACTAAACCCACTGTTAGCCAAGACTACAGAAAAACAAGTACAAATTCCCAAAAGTATGGTAACGTCCAATCTCTGGAGCGAAATTACAAACTGTAAAAATCTATGATACAGTTCATAAGCTTTAATAAGATAATTTTGAACTGCAATGCAAAAGAATTTTCACTTAGCAGCCTTAATTTTTTTGTGAAAAAGGAAGGGCAGTAAGACAGTTAACTATACACATAAATGCTTTATATACTTATAATTTACTATAATCATGTTTGTATATGAAAATTTTATAAAAGCAAGACGAAAAATAAGATGCTTCAAAATGGAGATGATTTCAAAAGCCTGCAGTAGTGTGGCTAAATAGTCAATGTGATAATGTAACTATTTAAAATAATAAGCATAATGGACTCTATATGTATGAAAATATGTATAGTAGATTTAAAAAGCAAGACACAAAAGTGTATAGCAGCATGTGTAGATCAGTGGCATCTACGTAAAAGCATATATTGACAGACTAACAGAGTAGATGAATAGTTACACGCAGATACCACTATACGTGTTTTCTCTAAAATTTGTATAAATTCATAGTATGTCTGAAAGCCTGTATCTGCTTCAGAAAGAAACTTCTGAAATAACTAAAATCCTAACTCCCTAAAAGTAGTGGTCAAGTGTCCTCAAATGTTCTTGACAACAAAAGTTGACATTCCTACCCAACATAAGTAGCAATGGATATGCAGAGAGCAGGGAAAAGCAACGGATTTTTTGAAGAAACTTTAGACAAGTGTTCTGCGCTCACCTGGAAGACAGGTACTACTTGGGATATCCCATGTGGTTCCACTGGATCCTTCAATAAAATGCAGAGGTAGTAAATCACCTTCTGCTGTAAGAAAATAAACCCAATAGAGATCTAAGTGAAACTCATTTTGTTTTCTTTTTCTTCAAGGGAAGGCTAAAAACTTTTTATAAATGGTTATCTCTAAGTAGTAGAACACTTGATAAACTTTCGAAGTGAGGGAGTAAATTCTCATTCGTAAATGAAGACAACACAACAGCAGCCAGCAGCAACAACCTGAGATGATTTTGAAATTGAGCTAAAACTAAAGCTGAAATGCTGACTTCCTATCTATGAAAACCTATTGTATCTCTTTAAAAATAAAGATATGTACCTTTTCACTATAAATTTCACTTCTATGGTTTATAGACATGCTAGCCATAAAGGAAACACTACAATTCTGGAACAGAGTCTTCCAAGTTTAATGCTGTGACATCAAGCACTTTAGGCATTAAGACTTAGGTTAGATCCAGGCAAAGGCCATGGGAGAGACCTGTAATACTTACTACTCAACTACTTACCATGTAAATAGCTTCATTGATGACAACATCCTTCACCTTGCCCATCTCAATGAAGGTAGTGCTTTCTTTGCCTGAGGCATAAGATGAAGTCATCTGGATACCAAGGGAATCTATGATTAACAGAGTCTCCTGATCAATCTTGACAAAATGGAGGTAACCAAGCAGGCCTAAGAGAGTGATGAAGATGGCAGCAGAGAGGATCATGCTGTTCTGAAGAGAGAGCCAGACACAGGCGGTAAGATTACCAAATGATCCCCTGCACAGATCTCTTACTGTTTAACAGGCTGACTCTAGGCAATGACGAAAAACGCCTGTGTTCTGCTGTGAGTTGAACAGATGAGAAACGTGAATGGAGGAAGAAGAAATCACTTTTATTTCAGCTCCGTAGTGCTGTGAAAGCATATAATGAAATATATCCAGGCAGCAAACGGATAGGTCTGGGAGGAGAATCTCCATCACCAAAACGTATCTACCATCACACCACTCTCAGAGAGTTTTCTTCCAAAACTGAAAACAGAGGGATTCAGACCATTTTCTCCCAGGCTTCATCAGCAGAATATACAGTGCAAAATCAGCCAGTTCAATAGTAAGATGCTTAGCACAGTGCAGCAGATAGTACTCAACAGCCCATCCCCCTTCCTAACAGAACTTGGGAGTGAATCATGATTGGTTCCTATTCCTTCTGCCAGTGACTGCTTCAGGAATGAATACATGACACAACTCTGGCCAGTGAGATTGGAGAGGAGGTCTGCTGGAGAGGCTTCTGGAAAATGAAGTCCAACTTAAAAAGAGATCTAAGGAAGAGAAGTTCCCTTTCTCTTGAAGTTTTGATGCCTGGAACTATGGGGCTACTACTCCTCTGCCAGACTCTAGACAAATGTAGACAGCCAGGCTGAGGACAAGCAGAATGGGTACGCCAAGGGTGGAAGAGTAGGAACCTGAAAAGAAAAATCAACTGAGCCTCTTATGCCCTCTAGAGCCCTCCTACCTCCAGACTTCTTGTTTTGTAAATAAAGATTGTATCATTTAGGGCTCTTTTAGTTCTTTTGGGTTGTGACTAAGTGATGTATTAAGTCTGAGTAGCTAAAAAGACTAACTTACGTGTTAAGGGTTCAAAAATGGTATTTATTCCTTTGATTCTAAAACACATTTACAGCTTTTTGAAGTTGAATGTGTTTTTCAATTGATGTATGTTTTTTTCATGTGCCATTATTTTCTTCCCAAAAAAGCTATTATTTAGGAGGATGGCACAGAGGGAAAAAAAATCACTGATGACTAATCTCTCAAGAGAGTCAGTAATTTACTGTCATCCTTGAGGGCTGGATGTATCTTATTCTTTTTTTTTAATTAAAATTTTTAATGTTTTATTTATTTCTGAGAGAGAGAGACAGTGTGAGCAGGGGAGGGTCAGAGAGAGAGGGAGATACAGAATCTGAAGCAGGCTCCAGGCTCTGAGCTGTCAGCACAGAGCCCGACGTGGGGCTCGAACCCATGAACCATGAGATCATGACCTGAGCCAAAGTCGAGCACTTAACTGACTGAGCCACCCAGGCGCCCCTAAGTTAATTTATTCTGAGAGCGAGAGAAAGTGTGAGCAGGGGAGGGACAGAGAAAGAGAGAGCAAGAATCCCAAGCAGGCTCCCTGCTGTCAGCACAGTGCCCAACGTGGAGCTTGAACTCACAAACCAGGAGATCATGACCTGAGCCAACGTCAGATGCTTAACCGACTGAGGTCGAAGTATCTTATTCTTTATTACTGACAAGATGCCTTCTTTGACCTAACTCTAGTCAAGCTCTTCTAAACCCTCAACCTTGGTGTCCATCCTTGTTGGGCCTGCAATGCCCAACAAGCTGTATCAAGAATCTGATGACCCTGGCCTGTCTTTAGCAAGAATTGTGTCAAGTCAATTTAGCCAGAATTTTCCTTTACCTCTGATGTTTCTTTTTAGCCATTTTCCACTCACCCACCATGCTCCTTGGCTATAAATTCCCACTTGTTATTGCTATATTCAGAATTGGGCCCAATTCTACACTGAGATCTCTCTTTTCCTACTGCAATAGTTTCTGAATAAAATCTGTTTTTACTGCTTTAAATACTGGCTGCCTCTGGTTTTCTTTGAAAATACTTTTCTACTTCATTCTCCCTAACACATAGTAAGTATTGGATCAAGAGACTATTTTAGGCCTGTGATCTATTTTTGAGCTAAGCATGGTTTTTACACTTTTAAAAGAATTGTTAAAGAAACAGAAGACTATGAGACAGAGATGTGTAAAGCCTAAAATATTTTCTATTTGCCCTTTTATATATATTTTTTTTTGTATTTTGAGAGAGACAGAGCATGAACAGGGGATGGGCAGAGGGAGGGAAACACAGAATCCAAGGCAGGTTCCAGGCTCTGAGCCCAATGCAGGGCTCATGACAAGTGGACTGCAAGATCATGACTTGAGCCAAAGTCAAACACTTAACTGACTGAGCCACTCGGGTGCCCCTCTATTTGGCCTTTTAAAGATAAAGTCTGCTGACCTCTGTACTAGATAATTACTTGTTGACTAATGAATGGAGGGTAGAAAAATCTATGTTATTGGGTCTCTGGTGATCCAGAAATATCTACTTTGAGTTAATTAAATGTTAGTATCTAGTACAGTGTCTGGTTCATAGTCTTAACCAAATAAGCATTATGGAAGAATACAGAGAAATAAAATTCAGTCCTGGCCCTTAATGATGTATTAGAGGCAAAATTAATGCATATAAAATATTTTGGGAGAATACTATGAAACTCACTATAGTGCCTAAGGAAGGATTAAAAGAGAGTTATAGAGTGAGGGAGAGAGACATCAAAGCACACAAGGATATTCCATGACCTCCAAGGAAGGAGTTCATTAGGGCAGAAGAGGTGATGGTTACTGACAGATACATTTGGTTGAGGAAAAGAAGGGGGGAAAGTATTCCAGGTTGGAATAAGGTAATAACGTGCAATTTTAATAGAATTGTGGATTCAAAAACCAGAAAGAAAGAAGGGATGAAGAACAATAAATGTTAGAGGATTTAATTCATATCAGGGTTTTTTTTGTTTTTGTTTTTTTAATGTTTTATTTGTTTTTGAGACAGCGTGAGCAGAGGAGGGTCAGAGAGAGAGAGGGAGTCACAGAATCCAAAGACAGGCTCCAGGCTCTGAGCTAGCTGTCAGCACAGAACCCAACACGGGGCTCGAACCCACGAACGTGTGACCTGAGCTGAAGTCGGAGGCTTAACCAACTGAGCCACCCAAGTGCCCCTCCATATCAGTTTTTTAATAAGGTAATCCCTGTCCCAAACTCCATTACTGCCTGCATTCTTTACACATCATGTTTCTGTCTAAAATTCTAACAATTCAATATTTATTTGGGCTGAAATTAAGCCTCATGTTTTTATTAATTACTTCATAAGACTTCTTCTCACCCCTGAGATTCATTACTCTGACAGTTCTGAACACAAGAAAAGGTAAGAAACTTTGGTACACGGAGCCCTTAAGAAGTGTTGCAGTAGAGTTTAAAGGAAGATAAGGTTACTGAGTCCCAGGCACGCGATGGAGGTAAGTTGGCATAAAAAACAAACTTCTACTTACAAATTTGCCTAAGCAACTCCTCCCCACGGAAGAGACAGTATAGCGGAAAAGAAAGGGTTTCGGAGTCAGACAGCCCTGGGTTTGAAACCCAGGTATGCTGTTTATTAGCTTTGTGTTGGGTAAGTTATTACTCTTTCTGAGCCTTGGTTTTCTTCTAAGGTTAAAACTACGCATTCAGGAAAGCAGCTGGCAATCAGTGGGCATTTAATAAATATCTGTTCCCTTCACCTCACATGGGCACATGGCCAGAACTCAGGCTAGTGTTAAAATTCAACTACATTATAAATTAAATCTTTTTAGGGGGAGGGAGATGGACTGTCCTGGCAACTTAACCATTTCAACTGACTTAAGAACAAACTTTTAGATATAGTTTGGTACAAATTAGAGCAGTCTTAATTTTGTATATACCTATGCCAAATTACCATGCTCTGGTGGCAAAAAAAAAAAAAAAAGCCAATAGATGCAATAATGGAAACAATCCACAAATTACAGAAATAAATAGACCTAGCTCTAGTCAGTCGCTCCTGGAATAAAATACTCAATTCAAGGCACTACATATGAAACCCAACTCATCCTGAAAAGAGCAATTAAGATGACTCCTTTTATTTGAAGGCTGTCACAAAGCTACTGCATGTGACCCTCACAACACTGTGAAGCTAGCATGGCAGATGGCAATTCTATTTTAGACATGTGAAAACTGAGGCTCGGAAAATAGGAATGAGTCTGGAAAGCGAGCAAAGAAACAAGTCTTCTCTGAAACATAGGAATTCTTCAGAAAATACTTGAAGTTGGGAAAGGGGTTGGGGTGTGTGTGTGTCTATACACGCACATACATACTGTGGAGGCAAAGACAAGTTTCCGGAAGACCTAAGGTATTACTAGCCGTGATTCCTCTGAAGAGTACAAATGATGGAGGAGGTCGATCGACTTAATACTACTCTCAACTCTTGGAACCAGCGAGTTCCGGCCCTCCGACCCTACAACAGGAGGGGCCGGCGGAAGGTCCACGCTGGACGCTAAGACCCCAAAGACCCTTCCAAACCCGAACTCCCGACTCCGACCTCGGGAAAGGGCCGATCGGCCAGTACCTCGCAAAGGGTGAAGAGTCCATAGGCCACTAGCCACACCGTGCAGGTGACAGCGGTGAGCGAATGCAACGAGAGCCGAGGGCAGCTGATGCAGAACTCTCGGCACGACGGGGAGTAGTAGCGGCGCTGCAGGGCCAGTCGGCCGCCGCAGATATCCGAGAAGCTCCGCTCATCCTCCATTCCTCGCTCGCTCCCTCCCCGCCGGGACGCGCCGCTCTAGTCCGCCAGCTAGCGTAACTCTCGCTGGCTCTGGACCCACTTCCGGAGTGCGGCTTTCGGTCCCGCCCCGCCCGGCTGCGTCTCACGCTCCGCGCAGCCGCAGATCCGGGACGGGAGTTGCGGCGGGGATCCAGAACTAGTATTTCGCACAGACAGGGCTGGGATTTTGTGATTGTCTACTGCAGAGACTGCATTGGGCCAATTCAGCCTGCCGATTAAAAACCGCTGTTAATGAACCTTCTCTCGGCAAACGGATTTCTATTTCTAAGCCAGAGCACGCCCTAAGGAGTCGATCCACAGGTATACACTCATTCATTCCTGAGCCAGGTAGTTTTAGGCGCTGAGGACACAGTGGTGAATATTGAAGGTCCCTGCCTTCAAGTGGCTTCCTTCCTAGTAAGAGAAACAATATGGAAACTGGCAATTATATGACCGGCAGAAGTGGCTTGGGGACGTGCAATAGGACAGTCAGGAAAATGTGAGGAAAGACACTGGAGCTGCAAAGATGAGGAGCCCGAATGGTGGGGGAGAGCTCTGAAGGAGGAATTTGCCAGGTTGGAGGACCAGACAAGGCAAAGTCCCTGAGGCTAGAACAAGGCTGACTTATTGGAAGAATCAAGAAGCTGCCACATGAAGAATGCATTTGGAAGCTGGGGAGGTGGAGGTAGGGTTCAGGTCAAAGAGGGTCTTGTAGGGCCTGGTAAGAAGTTTGAATTTCACTGGCTGGGAGTTCTCTCTTCCAAACCACTGAGTGGAGCATTGAGTAGACAGACGAGCCCTGGCTGGGACTCCGTAGCAAGAAAGGAAGATGGAGAAGGTATGGATAATAAAATTACTAAACTCATGAGTAATAGCGCCTGTGGGTTCTTTTTTTTTTAAACTTCGGTTGTGGCTCAAGAGTGGCTTGTGGCCTGTTAAAAGAATTATAGTGCTTCAGCCCTGAGGCAGCATCATCTTAAAGAATTTATGATCCCTTTGTCTATAAAGATAAATGACATAACAGTCTCACCAGCTTTAAGCAAGATTCCGTTTTTCCATCGTCATCCAGGATTTTGTTTCCTTTTTTTCCTCTAAAGGATATTCTTCAAGTATTGCTTTGTTTTTCCAATTTCATTTATATGCCCTAAATCTTACCAAGCAATACATCTCCTCTCATCTTTGTAAATGACACGTGCATGTCTTTATATAATTATAAAAGTGAAGTTTGCTTATTTTGGAAAAGTTGAAAAATACAGAAAAGAAGAAAAGCTTAAGCCACCCATTATTTCCACCACTCAGAGAGACACTGTTGATATTTGGGGGAAACCTTAAGTCCTAGACTTCTTAACCTGGACTCCATGGATAAAATCAGAGGTTTACCTTTCGTTTCATTAACCTAATTGAAATTTAACATTTTTTTTGGTCATGAGTGCAATTAGTATTAGCAACACTTGTGATTTTTGTCACTCTCATAGAAACCACAAATATTTTCATTTCACGATAATTATTATCTCAAAATATTTCCATTCATTACTTCAAAATTGCAGTAATTATTAGATCCATTTCTTGATCGTATTATTTAATCTGTCAGTGGAGATACATACATCCATTAGCACATTTTAAAACTATTTTGAGGTGGCTGGGTGGCTCAGTGGCTTAGGCATCCAACTCTTGATTTCGGCTCAGGTCATGATCATGCACTGGTAGTGTGGAGCCTGCTTGGGATTCTTTCTCTCTCTCCCTCTCTCTCTGCTTGTTTTGCTTTAAAAGAAAAACAGCAAGGAGTGATTGTTCTGGCTCTAAATGTTGGACTTAAAAGTATTAATAGGCCGGGGCGCCTGGGTGGCTTAGTCGGTTAAGCGTCCGACTTTTGCTTAGGTCATGATCTCATGGTTCGTGGGTTCGAGCCCCGCATCGGGTTCTGTGCTGACAGCTCAGAGCCTGGAGCCTGCTTCAGATTCTTTGTGTCCCTCTCTCTCTCTGCCCCTCCCCCGCTCATGCTCCGTCTCTGTCTCAAAAATAAACTATTTTTAAAAATGTTTAAATGAGATGCAGACATGGAAAGATGATAGCTATTAAGTATTGAAAGCAAGATGCAGAATAGTAAGACAGAGTGGCTGCTGGTATTAGGATGAGCACGTGTGCGGTCACAGTCGCAGAGGAGGATCTGGNTGCCAGCTTGGAGCCTGGAGCCTGTTTCAGTCTGTGACTCCCTCTCTCTCTGGCCCTCCCCTGCTCACGCTCTCTCTCTCTCTCTCCTAGAAATAAATAAAACATTTAAAAAAAAAAAAAGTATTAATAGGCCTCAGAAGTTCAGCGAAATAATATTAGCAAGGAAGGGCAGCTGATGAAAAGAACTTCAACCTAGAAATTGGCAGGTTTCTCTGAGAAAGTTTAACATCTTTTTGCAGGGTCACAACTAATATCCTAATGAAGTGCGTTGTGTAGAAGCAAAGAAAGGAAGCTTGAGAAATGTGCACTCTGTTTTGTCAAGATAGGCTACTATTTTTTAAAAAAATGTTTAATGTTTTATTTATTTTTGAGAGAAAGAGAAAACACAAGCAGGGGAGGGGTTAGAGGGCGAGGGACACAACAAATCCAAAGCAGGCTCCAGGCTCTAAGCCTCTAAACTATCTGCACAGCTGGCTCAAACCCTGAAGTGTGAGATCAGGATCTGAGCTGAAGTCGGAAGTTTAATCTCCCCTCCCCCCGGGGCCACCCAGGCGCCCCCAACCTGTCCTTTTTTTTTTTTTTTAAATACAAAGTTCCTTTTTTCATTTTGAGAAAGAGAGAGCAAGAGCATGTGGGAGGAGCAGAGAGAGAGAAGACAGAGAATCCTCTGCATTGTCAGCTCAGAGCCCCATGCAGGGCTCAAATCCACGAACCCGGGAGATCATGACCTGAGCCAAAATCAAGAGTCAGACTCAGCATGCTTGACCGACTAAGCCACCCAGGCGCCCCCAATCGGTCCATTTTTAATATGTTTATTATCTTCCCAATCTCAAATTGAAATTATATAAAAGAAAATACATTCATAATCCTGCCACCTAAACAAATCAATCTTCATTTTCCCAACCATTTAGATCCTCTTGTTTTAACATTTACATTGTTAGAAAGATGATATAATACAGAACATTTTTGAATGAGTTAAAAATATTACAATCCTAAAAGCCTTTCAGTGTTACATGTTACTCCCTCCTTCCATCTCTTCGTTATTACACTTTTAAAAATTATTATAGTCCTAGTGTGCACATAATTTTGTAATGTTAAAATATAAACAGGTGTATTTAAAATTTTAAGTTTGAGCAAAAATCTATTCGAATAGGGCAATGTCAAAAGGGAAGTAGTTAAGAGCTCTCCACTTGATTGGAAGAAGGGGAAAGACTTTCATAGAGAAGGGGTGGAAGCAAAGCAAGGAAATTACATGATTGGCTATAGCTTAAGGTTGCCTTGTCTGTGATTGGTTGTGCATAGGTTTGGATTTCTTAACATTGAGGCATTAGCAGGCTTAGGCTTTGGTTTGCTTAGGCAGGCAGTTAAGCTATTAGAAACACCCTAATGGCTCCCTTGTTTAATTAATTTAACAATAATTTAAAAATTAATGTTTGGCAAACATTTCCTATATTTCTACAGATTTTTAAATTTGTTTTTATTTATTTTTGAGGGGGGGGTGGACAGAGGATCCAAAGTGGGCTCTGTGCTGACAGCAGAGAGCCCAATGTGGGGCTCAAACACATGAACGGTGAGAGATCATGACCTGAGCCAACGCCACACAAAGCGCTCCTTTCTACAGAATTTTAAAAAATAAGTACCATTTAAAATAGCTACATAGTATTCCATCATGTTATTCTATAATTTACTTAGTATCACGCTGTTGTTTTCCTATCTACTGAAAATGGCTAGTAATTATTTCAAGTAAGGTAGAACAACAGTAGAAAAAATAGACATATAAAAAGGAACCTATTAAAACAGATATAGCAGAAAGTAGAATTTATTTTGTTTTGCTTTTCATAGAGTCACATCCCCATCTTGTGGCATTCTAGGATAGTAACGCTTAATATTTTCAATTCAAGTCGAGGAACACACCTGGCTTTTATGTGGAAGATTTCTCTCCCCTTTTAACATCAAGATACCTTATGTCGTTGGTACACCAAAGGTTTTTTAAGTGGAATAAAACAAACTTGTGGGAAAGTTATTAAAACAGTGATCTAGCTTGATGGGTATAGGTTTGACAAACAGGCTCAATTAGACCATTAAACTCTCAACTCAATTTTATGTGCTCCATAGCAAAGACTTCTTTAAGTGGTTTTGACCAAGCCATAACTGTGTGGGTAATAAGTTACCCTCAGGTGAAATGTTTCAGAGATTTTAAAGGGAAAGGTGAATAGACCTTCGTTGAAGAAAGCCTTGTTATTCAAAGTATAGTAAGTAGACTAGCTGCATTGGCATCACCTAGGAAGGAGCTCATTTGAAATGCAGTTTCTTGGTTCTCACCCCAGACCTACAGAGGCAGAATCTGAGTTTTAACAAGATCCTCAGGTGATTTGCTTGCACATTAAAAGTTGAGAAGCACTGGGGCGCCTGAGTGGCTCAGTCTGTTAAGGGTCCAGCGTTGGCTCAGGTCATGATCTCTGGGTTCGGTTCGTCGGTTTGAGCCCCACATTGCATCAGGCTCTGTGCTGACAGAGCCCGCTTCGGATTCTGTGTCTCTGTCACTCTCTGCCCCTTCCCTGCTTGTGCTCTGTCTCTCAAAAATAAACAAACATTAAAGCAAAAAGTTGAGAAGCATTGAAAGATATAACACTTAATACTGGATTCTCTAACCTGACTATTTTAGAAGCACCTGAGGAGTTTTTAAGAACTCTACTATTTGGGTCCATCCCAGATAATTGAATAAGAATGGGTGGGGGGCTAGGAGGGTATGGACATGAGCATACCCATTTTGGAAGCTGCCTAGTGTATTTTTAACAGCTGCCAGGGTAGAGAAGTGTTGGGAGGAAATCTTTTTCTCTATATCTCAGATTCATGTGGTTGAATGTGAATTCCCTAC